CTCGCCCAAGTAGGCTGCCACCCATCCCACCCGCTGCCGAAAGAGCTCGCCACCGCGGCCACCTGCACCACCGGCCCCGGCGCTCCCGCTGGTGGCCAGGCGACACCCCACCCTCTTCCCCGGGCACCCCGGCTCCAGCCCCGGGGCCTGGCCGAGGGCAGGCACTCACCCAAGTTGACGAAGCTCATGACCATGTCAGCCTCGGTGAGGAAGTTGCTGTCCTGCAGGCTGGCCAGGGGCGGCCCCTGGGTGCTGAAGATGGGCTTGTAGGGGTAGGAGAAGCCCTCGCCCTCCTCAGCGGCGGCCCCCGCCGCCCCCTCCTCCACGGACATGGCATTGTAGAGGTCCAGCATGAACATGGGGGCCGAGTTGTGCTTGCCGTGGAGGTGGGGCCGCGGGCGGTGCGGCAGGCCGAGGATGGAGAGGATCTCCCGCTGCATCTCGCGGCGCTCGGGGCCGCGCAGCCGCCGGTGGATGAAGCTGGAGTGCACCTCGTTGTCCACCGTGAAGTCGGCGAGGACGCAGCGCAGCCAGAGGGCGGGGGCGGCGGCGCCCAGCACCAGGAGCCAGGAGGCGGGCTGCCCGCGCCCCGCCGCCGGCATCGCGGCGCGGCGGCGGCGGCGGCTGCGGAGGGGCGGCGCGGGGGGCGCGGGGCTGCCCCGCCGCGGGACGCGCCCCGCCGGCATGCGCGGCGCGGAGCGGCGCGGAGTGGGGCGGCGCGGCCCCGCGCTCGCTCACTGCGGCGGCCGGCGGCAGCCCCCGCGGAGGAGCCGCAGCCCGCTCATGGGGCGGGGGGGGGGGGGGGGGGGGGGCGCTGCCTTAGCGGCCCCGGCCCATGGACGGGAGCGGCGGCGGCGGCGGCCCGAGGCGCTTTCCGCGGCAGCGGGAGCGGCGCGCTGTGCCCGCGTCCCGCACGCCGCGGCGGAGCCGTGTGTGCAGCGCTGCGCGGCGGGGAGGCAGCGGGAGGTTGTCTCTGGTGGGAGGAGCAGGCTGGAAAACCCAAGCGCGCTCGCTCGCCCGCTCCAAACCGCTTGGGAGAGAGAAATCCGTGCGAGCGCCGAGAGGAGGAACGTCTGATCAGGTTGCTTTGCAGGATGTTTGTGCAGGCTGCTGGCTTGGGGGAGAGGGTGAGCCCGTCCCAAGTGCCTCAATTAACGTGAACGTAATTAAGGAGAAGACACCCCAGGAGGGAGGGTGGTTTATGTATAAGGAAGGGGCCCAAACTCCCAGGGAGTTTATAGATGCAAGTATATCCTCTGTCTGCACGAACATGCATACACAGGCATGCTTTTATTCATCTCTTCCACCCTTCTTTTTTGAAGAAGTACAGATGGGGAGAGACTGTCCAGGACAAAACCAACAGCACTAAATTATTTAAAATGTGATGATTATATATTCACACACGTAGACATGTATGCCTGTGTGCATAGAGCCCCGGGTCACTTTTTCCAGCTGGCAGCAGGGAGAGTTAATGGAGAAGCGTTAGAAATCTGAGGGGGAAGTTATCATAGAAGAGTCGTAAAACCAGCAGCATTTACTTGGATCGAAACCATCAACCTGTGCACACGGGTCGTTTATGCCATTACATTATCCTGTTCTCTCACCTTCCCCTTCTGCTCTCTGGTACATGCTTTTGTGGAATACTGTATTGAGATGAATTGTCGACTTTTTAAAGCAGTGACTTTTTTTTTTTTTTTTTTTTTTTTTTTTTTACTCAGTGGGTATAACATCTACAGTAATGGAGCCCCAGTCCTGCTTAGTCCAGGTAGATGTCTATGGCAACAGTATGTAATAATAACAACAACAATAATAATAATAATAATAATAACCTCCGATAACAAATGTATACTACTACTTCCCAAATCTTACTTGGAAAGCAAGGGAAAGGCAGGACAGAAGGGTTTATCGGGGTCACTGAATCCACCCTGAGGTAATTTCACAAACCATATATACATATACACTGAAGTTTATGCTGGCATTAAGATTTGTTCCTTAGGCAAAGGAGGAAGAAGAGGGGCAGGGGATAGAGATCAGCGTTGTTTTTTTGATAAATTGTTCATCAGATGTTTTCAGATGAGCAATATCCTGTAGTATCCAGCACCAGATCCTGCATCTGTTCTGGAAACTAACATTCATCACTTCTTTCAGCTCTTTATGTTTAAAATCATTGTGTGAATGGCAGGTAACTAGTCAAAAAAGCTGCATGGGAAACACATTGAGTGATTTAGTGTGTTTGTATGCCAGCATGTACATCTCTTAATAACAGGGAAACTGAGGCATGACATCAAAATGACTCACCAAGCTATTTAAATAGTGGTGAAACCAGCATTAAACTCCTAGCTGAGTCCTAACACATGTTTAGGAATGGCTCAAGCTCTGGGAGGAGGATGGGAGGAGAGAGAGGTTGTGAAGCCACATCCACCTTAGGTAACACGGGAGCACTTCCTAAGCTCACTGGTACTAACGGGGCTGCTCAAATGCCACCCCTGTAACTGCCTTCCCATTGCTCCCACTAATGAAAACGCCAATACCTAAGCAGTTGCATTTTGGATGCCCAGTTAAGATCATATTCTCTAACACCTTCTGTACTTCCTGAGGAGCAGCACTAACCTGCTCTTAACCAGGCAGGTATTTGCCTAAATTTCTCTCTTGCCGAGGGTGTGGTTTCTAGATCAATTTAAGCTGATCTAAAGCCAGACTCCTCTTGAGAAAGATGTTTTTTTTCTCATCCCACCCCAGCCTGGACATTCAGTTGTGCAACTCCACCCCTCTCCAATGCCGGTACTACCACTTACATCCACACACAGGTCAGGAAGCTGATTCTGTTTTTAAAAGTAATTGCTTTTTTTAACCATTTATGTATTTGTTTTTGCTGAATTAATTTTCTGCTGGATCAGCTCCTTGTTCAGACTGACTGCATGTTGCGCTGAACTAGGGAGGCCACAGGAATGCACAGCTGGGAGCGAGGAGAGGTTGTCTGGGCTGGGCTGCTTTAGGTTGTCTTAAACTGGTGGTGGAAGGGCAGATAGATGATTCAGTATCCCTCCGCTCGCGCTCTCAGCTGCAGATATCTTGATTTCACTTTCTTTTTTGCTCCTTGTATAGGCAGTTTGTTTTTCCTGAGTTTTAAGTGCTGGCCTTTCATCAAGCAGCAGCAGGGCAAGGAGACTTGCTTTTGTCATGGACAATGAGATTAAAAAATCTGTAAGGATGGAACGGTGGACTGGAGAGCAGGTGTCTCTGCTGCCTGAATTACTTACACCTGAATTGCTTGTAGCACACATTTAAAAACTGACTAAATTTCGGGTCAGTGTCATGCTTTGGAATGACATCACTCTTTGAGAGAAAGAAAAAGATAGTTGAGGGGGTTTGGATCCTGACTTGTTAATGCCTTAGATAACTACTGTTTAAGCCATATGTGTCATTGAGAAAACAGCAGAGGAAGAAAAATAAACCTTTTGATTTGACAAATTTCTTGGAAAAGTGATGTTTCAATCTATTTCCTTCTTGTTTGTTTGAGCGGTCTGGGTTTGGCCAAATTTAGATTCACCCTGATTTAATGCAGGTTATGCTCTTTAAAGAGGGGGCAATGCTGCAACTGTACCCTGTGCTTTCATAGGCACGGTTGTGAGAATTTAATCTGTTATAGCAGTATTTGCTATGAAGCTCTTGCACCAGGTACAGCATTAAATAAATGCATGATAGTTTGCAGTAGGGATACTGCTTGCATGGATTCCTAAAACAGCATTACAAAAACACTCCAGGAGTAGGTGATGAGTAAGGGGATGTTAAAGAATAATTTTTTTTTAATATGGAGTCCTAGGCTCTTGGCCTCCCCTTGCTTCGGGACACAACAAAGAGCAGCATTTATTCTGCTGCATACAATAAAGGATGATGCATCTCAAACTGCAATGGTTCAGTCCTCAGATCCAAGCTTGAATTTCAAATACCTTTCAAACAGAAAAAGTACAAACTGGATTGCCTTTCTCATGGACAACATCTTTCTCTTCCCTCCTTTCTTGCCTGCTACATAAACCCCATCCTGCTTCCTGTAGGATCAGTTCCACACAGGTTGCTGAAATATTGGCACCTTCATGTCATTGTCTTTTTCCTCCTCCTTCCTGGATCAATTAAGAAACCAGTTTTTCCTCTTACTCTTCTCTGCTTCTCTGTGTGTCCTCCTCTTCTTGAGAAGGAAAACTAAATGCTTATGATGAAGTAATCCCTGTTTGTTGGCACTTGTTGCTTCAGATAATTTCTATAAAAACAAACTCCCAATGTTTCTGAGGTTCTGTGCAAGCCACATTACCAATTGAGTAACTTTTTGATCTCTTTGAGCTTTGCATGTACGCTCTTATCTGATTTTTATACCAACTACTGCCATTGGTTTTGTTTGTGTGGAAGTCAGTATAGTTGGAAGCATGTATTTAGGAGATAAAGGGCCTGATTTTAAAACACGACCTGGACAAAAATGTGCAGGTTTGTGCTTGATAAATTTGTATGTCATCATCCCGCACCCATATTGGGCATATGCCAGGGGCAGAATTTGGCCATTTGCATTCGGTTTTACCAAAAGGGCAGTACAGAGTGTGGGTTCTGCTCACAAATTTATTTCGTGACTTTTTAAAAATCAGACACAAAGCATTTTTTCTTCTTTTCTACTGAATCACTTTCCAGTTTCTTGCCTTCCTACTTTGATGTCCTCTTTTTAACTTTAACCATGGTTCTTTTCCATTCTGTTTTGCATCTTCTCTCATTTGTCTTGAACAAAGTGCAAGTCCTAAATTATAGCAAACTTTTTTCTTCATCTGAATACTCTCACTAAAATAGCATGTGTTTGGGGAATTTTGAACTGTTCCTCTGGGTCCTGTGCATGCATAACTCTTATATAACAAAAATAATAGCATTATTATTTGTATAGGAATGCATAATTAGCTTGCTTATTTAATTACGCTATATTGGATCATTCTTACCAAAAGTTTCTATTCATCTCTTCAGCAGCATTACTGAGAACATATTCACCAACATGAAAGTAATCTCATTATGGGTAAGCCATTATATTAGCTCTAATCCAGGAATTTGAATGGATCTGGGTTGAACTGTGCTGGGTTGGACTATCCTGATTATGTTATAAAAATTAAGTATTGATTCTTACTGCTACTGATCAGAGGAGAGTCAGAAATTGAGTGTGTGTTCTAGAGTAGGAAAGGGCATTATTACTTCTGGAGATGCTAGTGATAACTAGAATATAAAGCAATCTTTGGATTTCTGAAATGGATAGTGCTGAATCTACTGTTCATCAACTGAGTAAGGTGGACAAAGTTCAGTCCTTCAGAGCTCAGCACTTCAAAGGACTTCACTTTATAAAACTGGATCTCCATGGGGATTCTTTTATTACTATTTACTCCAGACAACATTATAAATTAGTTCATATCATTGGAACATTTGTACTATTATATTTATCATACATCTATATACGGCTTGAATATAGGCCTATGTTATATTTTATATATATGTTTGAATGTAAGTGTTTGTATATTGGTACGAGCACATGTATATGTGCATACACCAGTATACTTCAATAATGTCTTTAAACTCTATGTAAGAAATATATTTCTGTAGCACAGATACATACATATGAATATTGTTTGACGTAGGACCACACTTAGGTCCATACACTGCCAAAGCAGCCCAAACAAAACTGAATTTAATTTTATACTATTAAATTATTCTGTGCACACTTGATTTGGTTGGAGCTTCTGGCATAAACACAGATGTTTCCTTCATTGTAATCTGAATATCTGAAATTTTAGGCTTATATTTGTGAAAAACCATGCTGAGAACACACTCCTATGTCACTATTAGGAGCAGACTTAAGCCATGCTGCAGCACCTTGGAAATGTGCTTCTGAAACTCTGTTTAGTTGTAACGTTTTTCTCATAATAAATGGTGATCTTTGCTTTTATAGTCCATCATCAGAAATTCTGAATTCTTCTTATTAGCATGTATTTCCATCTTCTACAGTATTTTTTAGTTTTCTGCTGTTTGTATTCACTAAAGGTAGAGGTGTTTGGTATTTTTACACTCAGCTATGTACAAAAAGCATATAAAACCTATTCATTGTTTTCAGAGGGAACAACAATAACCGATTCTGACCTGTAAAATGCAATGGGACAAATTTGGATGGTTTTACTTTTTCTCTCCAGGCAGGTGCAGAGTAATACCTCAAAAGAACCATTATTTTGTGCCTTTATTCCAATGTGTACATAAATGCTTGCATAACCCTTGCACAGCTGCTGTACAAACTACTCATGCCACAAGTATTAGTAATCCTAACAGGGGAGGTTGCATGGAAAATTGGGGTGTGTATGCTAAACCATATGTACCATGCCCCTGAATCATAAAACTTCTGTTGCTGGAGCAGAGAGATCTTTGGAGACTGGGTTTTACAGGTCTGTAGGAAGCAGGATTATATACAACAGCTGCACCCCACAGTTTCTCTCCTGTTGAGGCTTATCTTGTGCATTTAAATACAGAATTTGGTCCAACATTATCTTAATATGGTCTCAGCTTCTACTTTTATTTATATTTCATTTCCATAGGAACAATTATTTTAATAGTTTACTTTGAATACATATTAGAGCCATTCAGACTGGAAGCTCTGAGCTGCCAATTTCGAGCTGCATGGGGCTGCAGAGATACAATGTGCATTTTTTGTCTCTGGTCCTGCCTCTAAAATAACTTTCTTTATATCCGCGATGATTTATAGCGGTGTTTCTGAACTGGTTTGAAACAAGATGGAAGTTGGAGATTCATTTGATTCTCTAAAGCCCTGGCCACAAAAATCCCTTCCCAAGTTGCGCAGAGTAGCACGGTTTGGCCCCAATTCTCCATGGTTTGAGGAACGTTCCAGCTCCCGGTCTGGCCGAGGGAGGAGGTTTGCCACATTACAAGTGGCTGCGTGAAGCAATCTCCCAGAGCTCTCGCAGCAGAAAATCGTTAATCAGAAGTTTATGCTGGAGGATTTTAAAATAATATGACGGGACTGTTTCCTCTGCTGGTGTAAATTGGCATAGCACCATGTGAGTAGATGGAAGTATGCTTATTTACACCAACTGAGGAGCTAACCCGGCGCTCTCCGGTGACTGTATATGGAGTGGATGGTATTACTGCTGCTCTTTTCGTGGAGGGTACTTTAGTTGTAAGTGCAACGCTGTAAGAGTTTATCTTTCTGAGACTGGGACTTCTAAGTTTTCAGTCGGAACATTTTTGCTTCCTAAATAGAGCTTAGCGTGCACTGAGTTTGCTTTGTGAAGTGCATCTTTTCAGCATTCATCCAAAGCCTTTTCTGCAGTTGTCTGAGCCCCATAGGCAAATATATACTGTTAGACTATTAAGATAATTTTTCAGTTAAGACATAGTCAAACTGCAAGCGGGACAATAGGAACAAAACCCCTTTTGTTCTGACTAAACTGTTCCTAATGACCCCCTCTATAAACAGTGGCACCAGCGGAGGTCTCAACAAGGCTCTTCATTGAGACCCCTTTCAAAAGGACAAGCAGAGCAGAACATGGGGCAGAAACTCTCAGAGTTACTGCACTTTACTCCGCTTTGGTGGTCTGACCACAAGAGAGAATCTGTTGTTTTTGTTGTTCAAGGCACCCAAAAAGAATAATTTAAAAGCATGAATTTCCACAATTAGCATCCTATAAAGAGTTCTAAATATTTGGATTGTCGGGAAAAGAGCAGAAGGAAGCAGTTTGTTTGCTTGTTTGTTTGTTTACTTAAATCAAGGGGGTCTATAAAATAGACTCATAAGTTCCATATAAAAGCTTGAATTTTTTTGGAGGAAATTATTTTTTATCTGTTAAGATCATATGAAAATAAATATGTAAAGTCCAAAGAAGTTAAGATTTTTACATTCAGATAAGATCCTAGTATTTTGGGGGGGGGTAAAAATCATCTTTGTGAATAATGTGTGTTTATCATGAGCAGGAGAAATCTCTGAGCAGGGGAAAGGGTTCAGTTGTTTAGTTTCTAGAGAAATTGAAGATATGGTGACAAATTAAATCCACTAAGGACCAAACTCTTGTTCTTCCAGATGAGTAACTGTAGGACACTGTACAGATACGTGTAGCGCAGACAGTGTGTCTTCATGCAGTTGAGGGTGATGGAGATTATGAATCACTTCCTGATTATTTCTGTCCCTATTTCTGTGTCCTGAATACACCAGAAGAATAGCACAGAAGACCTTCCACTTAAACAAAAACCTATTTACAGAGCATCTTTGTTGTATGTAATTGGGAAGCGATGATAGGTCAGGCAGCAAAAGTTCATAATTTGGATGTTTTGGGAATTACACTGACTACATTTGCAAATAGAAATGCCAGTTTCTTCTGAAAGAAGCTGAAGTTTGAGTTCTAGCATCTGATTTATTAGGGGGATTTCTAACTTAAAACGTGGGCCACTACTTCATTTGGAAACAGATTGGAAGATATGGAAGAAGAGAGGAGAGCCCTCATTAAGACAGGAACCATATATTCTGAGTAAAGGCTAAATCACAGAGAAAAGTATCTCCTCCAAGATTCAGAACACTTGCAAGTCTCCATGATGTGGTGGGGGTCTGAGGGCGTTCTGCTATTCGTGGGAAGTGCTCATCAGTTCGAAGCTTTGGGCTTTTGTTTTTTGATTATGGATAGTGTCCACACTTGTTCTTCATAGAAAAGTGGGATGGAAGGTTTCAGTTTGTCTTGGAAAACGGAAGGATTTGTGTAAGTGCAAGATGAAGGTCCAGTGCCCTGTGACAGGATACTGAAAGAAAAAGAAATGTCAAAGAATTCTTGAAGATATTTCCAGTAGAAACAAAAGAATCTTTGTGAAAGATACTGTTAGCAAGTCTAATGGAAGGAATGGGGACGTAAAATGAATTGAGAGGATTTGCAAGTTGTTTCTAAGCCTTGAGGCAAGAACAAAAAGCTGAGCATTTACTGTTTACTATATTTGGTATGTATGGAAGAGCAGTTTGGACATCAAGGGAGCTCATAAAATGCAGAGCCTAATTCATCTCTTTATTGCAAGCTGTGTTGTTGAGCTGGGGATAGAGAAAATGCTTCTGTTAAAGGACAGTTCTGAGGACAAGCAGCTGAGACTTGACCTGGTCTTTTGTGAAAATGACTCTTTTCACGGCAGTGGTGTGGAGGTCCATAAGCACGTGCCAATGTTTACAATTAATGCAATTTTGGTTTTCGTATTTGTATGCATGTAAGCATTGTACAGAGTGCTGTAGATCTAGTTTTCAGGATTAAATATGGTAACTGTGAAATGTGATGGAATGAAGGTACATTATTAATTTTGTCACATCTTTCCTCAAAAATCAACATTTGAGGATTGTTTTTAATTGAAAAATTCTGAAAAAAGACTAAACATATTTGACTAAAACTTGCTGCGTTAGAGATTTTCTGGTTGAGAAGTCCACATGAATAGGCTGAAAAAAGACGTTGGTTTCTTAATCAATTACAGAACTTTATGGGAATTAATTTATCAGAATAAATGAACAAGTGGATTTCTAACCAGATTTTATTTAATGCTTTGACTAGAAACTCTCATGTTTAAGGCTCATATTAGAGATGTGACAACTTCTAATCATGAAGAACAAGTGTCAAAGAATATAATTTTTTCCTAGTTGTCATAGGATTACATTGGGATAAATATGAGGAAAAAGTAATAACATGAAATTTATATTAAATTTGACTGATGTAAAATTGTTTTCTCTTGAAAGTAATGAATCTGGTTATAGATGAATCTCCTGAGCCAAAATATTCTTACTGTCTTTGAAACAATCTTGTAATTCTCTTAGATTTTAAAAATGTTTGTATTTATGTGCAAATAAAAGCTTATTGCAAGCTTTCAACCTATACTAACAAGAGTAGGAGACAGGTAATTGGTATAAATCAGTGATCTTTAAAATGTTCTGATTTGCAGACTTTGGCAGCAGCCAATTCTTTATGTCATATCAAAACAATCTGTCCTATTTGCCTTTTTGGATCC